TGACGCGATTCACCCTTTTGGTTTGGCCATCGGTCTGCGGATGATCCGCTGTCGACATGTTTAAATTGGTGCCTAGCACCTTGAAGATAGTCGACCAAGATTTCCCCCCGAAACGGGGGTCTCTATTGGAGACAATCGACTCCAGGAGTCCGTGTTGACGGAAAACACGATCCACGAACAGCGTTGGTGTACCGACTCCGTCGATGGTGTCTGGCACGCCGCCAGATGAGCCATCTTGCCCAACCGGCCGACGAATACCACGACACCCGTGTTGCCCGCAGGATCTTTCGGCAGACCAAACACAAAGTTTAAACTCATGGACTGCCAGCACCCAGTGGGTACTGGTAAACTGGCCAGAGGCGCATCCAGTGCCGGCGCCAATACTGCTTCTGCTTCCGAGCAAAGGTGGGTTTATGACTCACCAAAGCTCCACCAGGAGACATGCGCGTAGCGCCCAAGGTCTTCGTCATCTACTAAATCTATGGCGAATAGTGTTCCAACCTTGCCATACCGAAAACAAGGTCCTATATTGCTACCAAGTCTAAGACTAGACAGCGTTCCACGCGATTAAAGTCAAGAAACTTTACACCGAGGTCCATAGGGACCCTCGGCAATGTGACACAAGTACCCGTCGCTAAGCGAACAGTGACAATGCCTTTCAAATGCGCTTTTAACGCCTCAGCATACAGCTGACTTCCTTCAATTGTGGAGCTTCGAGCATAATTGCCCGACGCCCCGGAACCGATAAGGATTTCTCGTGGTTTCTCAAAGCCATACACTGTCGCTTTATGACCAGCAAGCCCGGCTTGCGCACACGTTCTATATTCAAGAGCGCGCAGCTCTTCGGGACTGGTCCCTGCTCCCTTCTACCTCTTAAAGGCTCAATCTTCCCCAATAAGACCCCCCGCGCCTACTAGGTTTCCTCGTTTCCTTGCGTCAAACCAGACTAATTAGAAGCGGGACGTCGGTTTGTCGACCTTTTACGCGCCTTTCACAGGGGACAACCAGTCCGAAGGTGACGAATGTATCCACAGCCAAACACCGTCGGGTGTTTACACACTGCCCGGTAGCTCGAAGCTTTCCCCACTCTTCCTCAGCAAAGCTGATATCCATTGGCTCAGGCCCGCTCGACGAGCTCTTAGGGTGTGCATTCCAACCAAGTCGCGCCGACTCAAAGTTGAATTCGGCATTCAATGTCACATTCACCGCTTCTTCAAAAGAATACGGATGCACACGGAAGACTTCCATTCTGGTCACCCCAGTGCAGAGGCCCTCCAACAAGATGGTCAGTGCGACCGCCTCGGGGAGAGAATCGGCTGTCATATCGGCAATCAGAGCACGCAACTCTTGGACAAAGTCCTTCTTACCCTGTCGGGCGGTAAGAAAACTCGATAGCACGCGAATTGCGTGATTGGGCGGCAAGAACACTCGCAAAAGCTGACGCTTCAGCTCCTTCCAGGAGGGAAACGCAGCTTTTACCGAAGCACCGGACGCTAGTGTCCATTCTGGCGCTCGACACCCGAGCTTGGAGATAACTAGTGCCACGCGCTGTTGTCCGTTCTGGAGCATAGCGGATGCCATAGACATCTCGGCCTCTTGACCCAGAGCAGGACATTCTCTTCATCCTGACCCTCGGAGGTCTCCACACTCACAATGAGCGGCCTGGGTCAGAAAGAGTCATTCGTCGTCGACGGTGGCGTCATGGACGCATTCGACGCTGACAGCTTCCGCTGTAGGTGCTCTAAGAGCGTATTTTCATAATTCAAAAACACCTCTGGACACGCGCTTATCGCTTCGGGCCCTTGCAAATCAATGTGTTCCACGCCCTTAGGGCCCACGCAGGGACATCATCTTATGAAGCCCGTCCTGCATACCCTGGGGCAAATAGGAGTATTCCTCCATCCTCACAGGGGTCAGTCGTAACTACTCAGACATAGAATGACTACAAGTGCTACCAAGTGCAGCAGGGCTGCCGTAGATCTTTGCTTAGATGAAGCTAAGCTAAGTTCACCAACCTTACGTTTTTTCCAAGAAAGCCGGAACGAGGGTTGCAGATCTCAATCCGCTACCTCCAAGTACTAAAAACCTTGACCAAGGCAAACAAACACTTCCGGTCAAAATTGAAACTGTATTTAATTGCTTAAATTGCGGTAGAGCCACCAATATCTAAACCTAATTATTATAGTAATACCTCATTTAAATGGAAAAATATAGTAATATGCATTACTACTGGCAATCCTGCCACGTCACGTGGTGGCCTTTCTTTACCGTGAAGCCACACAGTGATTTCACACTAACCTGCGTAACGCACACCTATATACGGTCGCACGATCTTGTGCAACCTGCCCTATCATATAAGGTACGTGTATCCCCGTTAAAACCTCATCCTGTAAATGCTCGTCACAAAATTTGTTGTCAAAAGTTCAGTTTTGCCTTTGGCACATGTACGTATCTTTACGTCTTATCCTTCGGCCATAGCGTCTCGCATTTCGCGCATGACGCCCTATACATTAAAAATAAACTCATCAAATTTAGTAAAAGTGTAACCAAGCTGATACCTAAATGCGATTTGTGCCAGGATCACTTCATGTAGGTGCCAGAAAGGGCGCAGGGATAAAACCAAACATTTATGAAAATGGTGTGAATTATTTAGAGGCACTCTTTCGCTGTCTAGCGCTAATTTATTAAGCGAAATCACGCCCCACATGTGTTCCAGGTGACATTACATCAGCGTGGTCCGTTTGGCCTTCTGGTTTGCATTCTGGCGTCATAACCCTCGGCAAGCTTCGCCTATTTTTAGCTGTAAAGCGCACGTCTCGACCCAGCGGGCTCAAGACTGAGCTGACTTTATCTTCAGCATTGACGATGTCGCTGCTACCAGCAAGATGAACCAACCGACTACCAAATAAATTGCATAGAGATAAATTACAGACACGCTACCGGGTACGGCAGGCTAGCTAAAGTCGCCAAAGCATTCGGCAAAAGTATATAATGGGGTATGGATGCCTCGCTAAGAATGTTTACTGGAGTTTATCATCACTGAACTTCACGTGCCTTCAAACACATTTCTCATATTGCGTTTGACCAGTATGCTGTACGTATCACATCGTCGACGCATGTCATCACCACTTTGACGTACGACAATGTATCGTTTTTGGCGATGAGGAAGGCAAAACTAAGCCAACTCATTTATATTTTACTTCGAAGATATAGTCGGCAACGATTGTACGATTCTTACGAATGTTTGATAGTGACGTCACTGTTCGTAACGACGCATGATCTATGTCGCGCACAACAGGTTTCAAGTTAGGGTGGTATACTTTATGATTGCTAAGCGCAAACTTATAGCAATTAGCTCCGTGGCATGTACGCTTCTCTGCCTGTCTTAGCCAGCGAGCATCAAAAGTGATGACGCGATCATAACAGCTGGTATCTGCTTGGAGTAAAGCACAGTTTACCACAAAAGACAACGCTCTGTAGACACCGTTATATGGTCGGTTCGGCTTCAAAGGTATCAAAATCGGATCAGATGTGCAATGTGTTTTATAGCCGCTCCATTTTTATACCGTTTGTTTATTGGATCAAGGTGATTGGCGACAGATCATGCCCTACTAGCATCAAAGAATGATGGAAACCCTGCTTAATCCTCAGCCCTTCAACTGTCACTTCAAAATTTTCTGAGCTTTATTGAAATGACCAGATAGCTGGTTTACCAGATTTGTGGCTTGTAATCAATAGTCTTATCCTAGTGTAAATAAATTGTTCAGACGATTGCCCGATGTCAGTATGACATTTATTTATCGTTCAAATGGTCTTACGGTGGGCACCACATGTAAAAAAAACAAGCTGAACTAGACTGTAGTTTCTTTGCAATTACACCAATCGTGGTGATGCATTCCTTGCTTTCAAGTTTTGTATGCTCTCAACTAGTAAGCTTACAGAATGAAAAGCCATAGAAACGGATGACGCTACTGGAAGTGGTTGTCGTGATGCATTGGCGACTTATAACACGTAATAAATAGTGTTGATGAGACTCATAGATTAAAAATACACACTGCCGCATTGAGACTTTGCTTGCCCGATCCTGTTCTTCACTTTTAATATAGATCTTGAAAAAATGCAGTTTTAAACAACATTTTAGACAATATAGGTATGATAGTGATGAGTTCTCGGGAAACTGCACATATGAGTTTATGCATCTTGTGTGGACCAAGCTACAGCATTACATTTGTTATTTTTAGATTGTACAAACAAATTGCAGCGAAGTCTTTCACGTAGCTAATTATTGCTATACTTCTCATTTGGGCCTCCAAACAGTCCTCCATAACTACGATCGAGATCAACGTCACTAGTGATGTGGATTTCTCGGTGGTGGCGTACCAATTACGCTGTCGAACCTATAGAACCAGGAGACCAATTTGTAATAACGCGCGGCAAGCTCAGTTTGATTTTTAAATGACACTGTGACTAAATGGCGCACACAGGGCGCTAAGTCGTATCAGCTAGATACGACTATTTCGATGGTATGTTTTATCCTTACGGCCACCACTGATAAATGACACTCTTCATATCGAAAGCTCTGGCAGCTTTCACAAACGTTGCAACACTTATGCGATGACCTCTCCGGACATCGGAATTTCACAACTTCTGCACCCGTTCCTTCCACGCGACAACACGGTTAAGGAACGAACGATTAAGGAGCTACAACGTTCAGCGCAGTAAACGAACACTCACGGCGTGCCTAGCGCGTTCGTTGCGCGTCATGACTGCAGTCGCGTGTAAACATGCTGGTGTCGAGTCCAACATCGTGATCAATATTACTGGTCATGAGGTAGTCTACCCAGAGGATGGAATGGAGGAGTTTGTCAGCAAACTTACCACAAGAGCAAGCACGTTGTCATGCCTGATGAGGAACTGCGTAAAAGTCGCTTTACTGAAAGCTGGCCTGACATTGAAACTGGTGATTTCACACACCTACTTATGAAGCTGTGCATTAAGCAATGTCATTCTATCCATCGGTTCCATGATTTTGATGTCCAGTTTTTTCAGAAAATTTATAGGTCGCAAACCAGAAGAGCGTCTGTTAAAGCACATCGATAACTTTCCGAAACCAGAGTCAGGCTCGTCATCTCTTTAAAACAGGTTTAATTTTCACCATTCTCATCGTGAGGCGTCAGCGGCGGGCGATGACGTCTTGGTCGATCGCCGTCCGGTGACACACAATGCCCTTTGAGTCTTGAGGACAAGGTCCGTCGTCATCGGCACTCTGCCGAGCATCTTTTTGAGGTCGCTTACCGCTGTGCGGAAGCCATCAAGAGCCTGGAACACTTTGTGCACCCATTGCCTCACGTTGAGGACTATCGCGTTCTGTTGGAGTGGCTTCTAGCCCTTGAGCAGACGCATTCTTAAGCGACGATGGAGCGCCTTGCGCCGTCGGAAGCGGAAATTGTTAGAATTAATGCTCAGAACAAGTTGCTAGTTCAACTTCTGGGTGGCCGATCGCCTCTGGAAGCCGTCCCGGCGCCAACGCTTCCACGTTTACTTGCACCGGATCCCGGTACGGCTTAAGCAAGCCCACATAAAACAACGAGTGGGTGCGCAGCCTTCTCGGAAGGTTCAGCGTATACACAAGTCCCTGCTTGGCCACGACCTTAAGAGGTCCAATAAGCCGTGGACAAAGCTTCGTCTTAAATTTAGCAAAAAATGCATGTGTAGAAGGTTTTTCGCATTTGATAAAACCAGGTATTCTACCTCAATGTTTTTAACATTTCTTCTGCCTCTTCCGTCTGCCTCTTCCTTCTGCAGGTCTTGGCTTTCAGCCATCGCATTGCGAACGTTCCGAAGGACACTTAGATGGTGAGGGGGTTGACATCAGCTAGCCGTTCGGCTATTCATCCCCCACCAAGCCCTAAGTCATGAGATCGCGGCGTCAGCGGGATGCGAGGATAACAGGCCAGTTCATGAAGAACGGCGTATAGCCGATAGACGAATGCACTGCATTGTTCAGAGCAAACCCTACGAGTGGCAACATTGCTTCGGCGTCTCAGCGCCGACGCTGCGAACAACGTCTTCAACGACGCGATTCAGGCACTCAGTCTGACTATCGGTATACGGATGGTCTGCTGTTGACATAGTCAACCTGATGCCCAGCGCCCAGACAAATCACCCCAGTGAAGCGCGTATCTCTATCACAGTTGTCTCCGGAATTCCATGTTGTCAAAAGACACGATCGACAAACAGCGTCCCTGCACCCGTACGGTATCAGAAATATGCATTAAGAAGAGCACATGTCCGGCACTGTCGCAGAATGAGCCATCTTACTCAAACGGTCCACAAAGACCGTCACACTCGTGTTGCCTGCCGATTCCTTCGGCGAGCCAAACACAAAGTCCAAACTCATGGACTGCCAACACCCGGAGGGTACCGGTAAGCTGGCCAGCGCCGCCGCCGCATTCGGGGAGGGTTTCACCCTTTGTTCCGTCTCACATGTGCGAACATATGTGCTTGTCCTTTTGTACAGCTTGGTCCGTCAAAAGTTGCAACTCACCGAGCTGTACATCTTCTCACGACCGAGATGACAACCGAGTGGGGTGTCGTGGGCCTGATAGACGGTACAGTTTTTTAAATACACATCGTGTGGAACCAAAAATCGTGGCGTATCCGGCAAATCTGTGCTATAGTACATCAAACCGATACTCAACGAATATCGGCAAAACTGTGCGCGCAAACGCGCTGACAATTTCTTGTCGGAGTTTCCAAAATCTTTGCTCGTAGAGACTGAAGCAGCGCTACCGACATACTATCGCGTTTGCGGCGTGGATCAAATTCGTCACTGACGACGTCACCGTCGTGACATGAGCAAGCTCACAGTCCGGTCTTCTTGACAACGCATCAGCCAAAGCATTCTGTCTTTCTTGCTTATACTTCAATATTCTGCGAAGAATGAGTGACACCTGGCCATCCTCTACGAGAGGGAAGGCGACAAGGTCGCAGTGCGAAATGAAGCATTATCCGTGTACATCACAACCGGCTATGGTCCACTTGTCAAAGAGATAAAATATTCGGTTGATGAGCAGCTTCATAGAACCTGCGCGATATTTATTAGTGGGAGAAACTTGCTTCGCATGTCTTTTTGATTAAAAAAAGAGACAAAAAGGGTCAAGTTCCCACAAGAAGATGACTGAGCCTCGGGGAAATCGCTGACCTACGCGGGTGCAGGGCAAGCAAATGAAAACAAACAGAGATGCGTTGTACATTAGGAAATAAAGATTGAAAAGGCACAGCCTAAAACAAGTGACGCACCCAGATGAGTGGGTCGTATACATCAAATTTGAAGTTGTGAAGCACTTTGATTGATCAAGATACGTTGTACAGCTACCTGTGGCACACAATTTTGAGAAATGTAGAGCTGAGGCATCATGTGTTCAATTTATCCTCGAATCTTACGTCGACCAGTATTACTCCCTTCCTCAAAGTAATGTTTTAGGAACTGAACTGTGTGATCTAGTTTGATCTTAGATGTGGGTACGAGATACAATAGCGTTGTGATCAATAAATTGACCGCAAGTCGAAAACTATATGAACCACATTATAATAACCTACTGGATCTTTGACGATTCAAATTAGCTAAAAGGTGAAGCGACAGTAGTGCGGCGCACTCTGTATTGCAGAATATGGAATTTTCCAAAACGTTTAACACAATGATTGCTGAAGACCTTGAGCAACTAACGAATGGCTATTGCGTCCTGGAGCTGAGGTGCTTAGTTAACCAGATGATAAATTATAAGGGTCAGTTGTGTATGACTGTCCCGCTGTAGAAATGATGAAAGCACCAGTACGTCGCTGTCTCTACGGTTTACAGCTGTGAGGATAGTTTAAAGTAGCTTTAAAGCACGATTTCAGAATCAATTTCTTATGAAACAACAAAAACATGCCTTAACGCAAGGATAAAGTTTTACGAATTCGTGGCGAGAAATAAATTATACTCAAGAAAGTAGTGATAGAAAAATCAAAGAGATTTTTTGTCTCATATCGTTAGCCCAGCCTGAAATTTTGCTGGGACAATCACTCAAAGTTGCATTGACGGAATCGCAGTAAGGAGAGATTACCGATTTAGTAAGGACAGTCTCAAAATAGAATAAGCTCATCATTATTAATCATTGGAACACTCAAGGATCACTGAAAACGATGCGTGGACATCTTGTTGGGAACCGACTGCTTTTTCATAATCGTCTGATTGGCAAATTAACGGAGCGCATTTTCGTGACCGATGCTCGCACCAACATAACAAAATGTGTGAGCTTCCCATCTATGATGATTTGATCGTCCAAACTGCAATATTATTCTCAAGTTTCAGTTCTGCAAAAAGTTTTAAGTCAAAATCGGACAGTATCAAGTGTATCAAGTGAACTTAAGCCGATGTACGAGCGAAGCATCGTTTATCAACAAAGAAATAAATTAGATTACTCTGTATTTGCGAAAAAAACGTCATAAGATAAAGGTAAAGGGATAGGCGGCGGTGACGATTGACTGGTGTACATGAGTCATGGGGATTTCTTAAACCAGATTTAGGAAGCGTACAGACATTTAGGAAGCGTACAGACATGAATTTGTCATCGATGTCAAGATTACTACTCGCATCAGAAATTAAAACAAAAACAAAAACACAATAAACAAACCAGACATTCAGCCTGATTTACATTTACCACCTTACAATCAACGCTTCTGGAGAGGCATGACAAGTTTCAATTCCATAAACCATAAAATTATAAGGAAATAGCAGAAAATTAAAAGCTTCAGTTTGTATTTCCCATCATGAGTAAGATAAAAACGAAGCACCTGAGAATATGAAGACGGGAGCGGTAGTGACGTACTGAACTGGCGAATATATGTATGGAAGGCGTGCTGCACCGTGATGCTTACGTCAGCTTGATTAATTGTGGAAGTAGTCAACAGCAAAATGATTACCTGAATTGCTGCGTGAGTCTTACGTGATTGATTTCGACTATATACGCGAATTAAACGCTCTTCAAACTGCCAATATCATAACGAATAGAATCATCCAACTCATAGACCAAAGTAGCAGATATGCCTGCCTACCTTTTCCGGAAAAAGTAAACTGACTTGCTCCTTCCGAATGTGAAACTTTGAGGACAAGTCAATGGACGTGTAGAAAGAAACATTGTCCACAGGGTTGCGGGCATTAAAGTTGTAATTCAGTCGACCATCAAATACAATGATATCATCTGGGTCCAACGTCACGCCGTCCAATGACGTTTGCGTGGCTAACTCTTCAGCACTAAAATGAGGAATCTGAAACATCAAATCCGGTGGCAAGAGGTACTCGTCAATAAATTCGTAAAGTTCACGGCGACGTACACGCTTGAGCAAAGCTCGTGCACTAGCCAATACATCTGTTTTCGATGACTCGATCGTCTACATGGCATGACAATCATGAGCTTATTTTGTCACATATCAAAGTAAGGAGCGTACATGAACAATATGGTCGGTGAGAAACTGAAAGTCTTGTGGTGTCTGGGTTGCAGCACAAATACCCAACTCGTTATCTGCGAGAAGCATTGCGTCGCAAATCATATATTCGACCGCTTTGCCCTTGCGGTGATTGTAAATCTGTTTGTGCATTTGATATCGTTGTTGGAACATATCGTAGATGTCGAGATTAACGCTTGTGTGGTAGCATATCTCGTTTTCAATCACACGATTAAACATTGCAAGGCGAGAGAAGTCGAACACTTTGCGTAGTCCAAAAAGATTAAGCATATCGCGGGCTAAATAGTCAAATTTGTCCACGTCAATACAGTTGCGACCATTTGCTACAATCTCGTACAGATATTCACGGGCATCTAAACGCGAGCCTCTGTGCGTCCTTAAAATACAAAAATAGTTTGTTAGCAAGCTCATTCCTATTCCTTACACCTTACATTTTGTTGTGTCTCACTCTTTTGCACCAACAATGAGCTGCTGAATAAAGCGCATGTCATCTCTCTCAAGGTCAATGTTATTATCATCCACCATAAAATCAATCATACGAAGTGACATGTCTTCATGGGAATATATTGATGCACTTGTACCACCGTATCCCCTAGCAGCCGCCACACGTGGCATGAACTCATGCTCAAACACATGTGAAAATGGTCCGTGGCCCAGATCATGCAGCAGTCCTGCAGCACTCTATAATGCACACAAAATGTCAGCATATCGCCTCATTTACTTTAAGCAATCGAATTTTTAAACCAATAGCTGAGCATCTCGCCGCGTAAGCTCCAACTCTGGCTGCTGGTGTCGAAACCGCTCCACCGTCTGTTCTGATAAAAAGCTTACTCCAAGTGAATGTTCAAAGCGATTGTGCGAGGCTCCTGGAAAGACATAATAGAGTGTTCCAAGCTGCTTCAGGTCCCGCAGCCGTTGAAATTGCGGTGTATCCATCAATGATACACATAGACCGTTGACTTTAATGTAGCCATGAACTTGATCTGTATCCATTAATGAGTTTTCGGTTGTAGAGTTTAGTAGGTGCATGGATATATACTCACCATTGAAGAGCTTGGCGCGCGGGTCTTGCGCACTGGACATTTTCATTGATTTTGATGCTTAAGCAATTACACATTATTGTGTGTTACGTTAAAAATGACGTAAAATACACTGTATAACCTTGAAACGATCAAAACGACCCTGAAACCAAGTGATCACCATGGTGGGCAACGTGGCGTACGTGCAGCTCTCAGGTCCTTCATCCTCTGCGACACTAGGTATATACGCAGGCATGTCACCGCAAGAGTTAAAGCAATTAGTTCGTGCGGCTTTGAGCCATAATGATGGTGTCTGTGCTGGATTTTTGGTAGCACAAGAAGATGTGAACCGGCGTTTATGCCGGAAAAAGTGTCATTTTAACTCAAATCAGCGCCTTATACCACTCTCTCTAGCTTGTAAAGCGCCAGAACTACTTACAGGCCGAGTTACTGCTTTGTTTGCACCGCCTAAAGCTCATCAACGCCTCAAAGAGTCCGAGAATGCTGCAGAGGCCTCTAACGACTTGAACAGGCTCCACAGACTGTTACAGGGGCTTGAGAGCGAGCAAAATTTCAGCAAATTTGAGACAGCTATGCTTTACGATCTATGCGAGCAGCAGAGTGCGTATATTCTTGATATAATGTCCAGAAATACGTCTGTCGATCAGAAAAAGCGCTTTCTGCTGCGTCTGCTGCATCCCGATAACTCATGTGAGCTTCGAAACGAGTTTAATTATCTAAGAAAAACAGCGCAGAACGATCCGAGCGAGAATTTACTGCAAACCGAATTGATAGCCCAAAAAATCGCAGCTATTGGCTCAAAAGTCTCTAGTCATGAATTCCAGCTGCAAATGGAAGGAATAAGTCAGGAGAATTGGTGTATAGATTCTGATCAAGTTGGAGATACAATGAAGTTGCTTTCTTTGGTAGAAAAACTTCTGGACAAGCACGTACTGCCTGAGGAAAATGGCGTATATTTGTTAAAGCTTGTTCTGTACCAAAATCCAGTGCTTTGGAGTGCATTTTACCGCTACAAAAACGGTGGATGCAGTTTGTTGGACTTGGAGACGACCGCGAAGAGATTAGCAGCTATGGAATCTATTCCGCCCAAACCAGTTAGCACGTCTAAAAGCAAAAAATCACCCAATGTGACGAAGATGAATAATCATTTAATTGTAGTCGTAGAATCTTTGTACGAGCAACGAATGCTGACGGGACTGGAGTTGGAAATTCTTCTGGCACTTTTGGCTCAGCATGATTCGCAAGTGCAACAGATTATTCGAGACTTTCAGTCAAGTGAGGATCAGGATTTCGGTGCATTGCGAGACTCATTGGTCGGTGTTGTGAAGGAATTGACGATGGAATTAGGTGACGAAGAGAAGGCACCATTGACGTTTGCTTTTGGTTCGGATGATGCACTTCGAGAGGCGGACGAATTGCCTGAAGATAGCGACATAAATGACAATGACATGCAAGGATGGCAACGACATTTGACGTTTTTAGTGAAACAATGGCAAGCATGTAATGAGTTGACCGATGTTGCGGCGCAAACGTTGCAAAATATGTTGATGCAACGTCACAATTTATTAGAAAGTGCGTACGAAGTCTTTGCTACAGACGCGGACGCATATGAGCTCCTGGATACGTTGCAACGAGTTGCCAAAATGCAACACCAGATCGAACAGACTGGTCAAAAAGTTTCTGATAGTGCAGCTCAAAGAGAACTCAGTCTGGAAGATGTTGTGAAACGAATGCAGCTTCAAGGACTTATTCTTTCGGAGGATGCCTCGGGCCTTTTGGGCCTGCTTTATGGCGGGAATGAAGCGTTACAAGCTGCAAATGAAGCGTTTCAGGCGGACAACGATGTCCACGAGCTAGAAGAAACGTTGATGCTTGTGGTAAAACATGCCCGCTTCAACCGCAATTTACAGAAAAATAAAGTTGTAGACGAAGTTGAACACGGGTCTTGCCTATTGGCCGAACTTGGGAGATCTGGACGCTTGAACTTGTGGCAGATTCAGGTTTTGATCTCGCTGTTAAAACGTGACGATCCTCGTTTACTGGCTGCAATGGATTTGCACGACGAAGATAAGAATCTGGAGGAATTGATTGAAACATTGTCAATTTTGGCCCATTTGGCCTCGAGAGAACAGCATGTTCATGATATGGTGTATGCTTGGATCACTTCTTTCAACCGTGACGATATTCTAACTCAAACACAAGCAAAGCGGCTGATAGAGTTAGTAGAAGTGCGAGACCATCGTCTCTTTTCAGCTTTCGTTATGTTTTTAAACGATGATAACAAAGACGAATTTGTGAGCTCATTGAGACGCATTGCAAATTTAAATTTGCAAGAGGAATGGACTGAAGACAATGCTGTTTTGGCGCTGTTAAAGGATTGTGAAGAGCAACTTTTTCTGTCACACGAAGAGCGAGAACAGGTGGAAGCGCTGATGTGCAATGGCGAAACGAGATTGCTGGCAGCGATAGATGTACTCGCAGAAACAAAAGACACAGAGGATTTTGCAGACACTGCTCGTCGCATTTTGGCAAAGTTGAAAGAGGAAAATGAGATGGCAAAGTTTTCGTTGAAAGATCTTTCCAACAGCTCAGAGATTGTTCGGGAAAAAAATGTTGCACTTGATCAAAATGTAAAGGACGAGGCAAAGGATGAGGTAGCAAATTGTTCGGTAGTCGCAGAATGTGATTCATGTCAAGACAAGCAAGAGCTACAAGAAGAAATGGACAATACTGATGATCAAGTAGCCGACGTTGTGATGGCTGGTAACTAGAATGACGAGAGGATGCTTCTTAGGCAATTAAATTGAAGCTATACTTAAATACGTACTTAGCACTGTGGTACACTTATAAGAGGAAACTAGATTTCACCATGATCGAAGAAGTCCACAGAACGAAACAGCTTTATCTTGAGCTTTTAGAATATTCCGAGACGCTTTCATCCGTTCCAGTGTTTTGTGTTGAGTCCGAAAATATCCCCATTTTTCTTCAACGTCTCTTCCTTCAACAGTTTTCCGCAAGAGATCTGCAATCTTGACATTACCTCCCGTAGTCATATTAGGATATGCAGCTCGTAACTCAGCAGAGGAGCAAAGGTCAGCAAGGAGTTTAACCACTTGATATTGTCCTGCAATCACTGCATTCTTTAGCGCGCGGCTGACATTCGCTTGACGAAGTTTCACAGTCAAGAGGAGTTTTACCACATCAATCAGCCCTTTTGATGCGGCATCTTCCAGAGCGCGTCCCACATAGAACCAGCTACAGTTCTCACGTAAAAGAGCTCGTAAAGTGGTCGTGTCTCCAGCAGAAGCAACAGCTTGAACGCCATAAGTAACAACGTATGGGATTGAATCATTTTGAGACCGATTCCGACGGCATAGCCACTTTACAACCTCAAAGTGGCCATTTTTCGCGGCCATGTTGAGTGCCCCACTTGAACATCTGTTTATGTAATGATGGCAAAGCCACCGCACTAATTTCAAGTGCCCATTTCTTGTTGCTCCATCAAGTGCGGCGATTGAACACCCTTCATTTCGAACAACAGACAGCCACTTTACTAAATCGAGACGTCCTCGAGCTGCCGCTCCATCCATCGCTTTTGTTGTCCACTTTCGTGTTGCGCCGTGGGTGTGGATAATGTATTGGCAATCGTTGTAGACAGCCGCATCGATGGTTTCAGGCATAATTAATTCATTTATGCGAATAACAACATGCGATAACGCTTTGATATGATCTGGAAGTGCTAGAGTAACAGACACGAGCTGGGGGACTCCCATTATTTCGCTTTTTGAAAAATGAATAGAATGAGTGACATGTTAAATATTGCATTGTGGGACGTGACGTCAGTCTCTGCAACCTATTAAATGCTGGGGAATGTGGATATTGTCGCCTGCTTATGGTTGAGAGGTCGACAATATTTGATTTGCCTGCGTATAACAGCGATTAGTTGTAGAAAATTCGCCCGTAGTAACGCCAACTGTAATTAAAAGGTCGCCCTTGAGCTGTGGTACGAATCTGAAATGTAATAAAGGGATGCTTGTCTAAATGTGGCTTGACAGTAAAAATACATTTTGATTCGCGCCACATCAAAAGTGCAAGTTTAATTGTATATATCCCATTACAGCTGTATGACGAGATTAGCTTGCCCGTCTGAGCACAAGAGTCACGCCAACTCTTGCAAATTTCGTCATGTCGTGACTACTGCTCAAATATCACATGTTGTACACCGCGCTAGACGGAGTCCTTACACACCATTGCGAACAGGCCTTCCGCTCATACCAAGAGCAAAGAGAGTGACAGAAAATCGCTCTGCGAGCGTTATCTTGCACCACGGCTCATAACTTATTAAGAATCATTCAGAGCAGCAGCGGTTGGAAACCTGAAGAAGTACTTCAAATACTGAATGCTGGCAAGAGTGGTGAAGAGTATCGTGCTCAAATTGCACACTGCTTAAGGAAAACGCATCGTTCTACTCGTCTACCAGTTTTGCACACCAGCTTCTTTATGAAGTAGACATCAACCCAGAGCGTCGATTAATGCTTAACTATGGGAAATTTGAAGCATGACGCGGACTTCAAGTTATAACTCATTTCGAATGTTACCGACTTTGCTCATCTTTATAAGACAGATGTCACAACCACTCACCAGGTATCAAACTTCCAACAGGCCGGCCCCATCTCGTGAGTTAGATACGCGCTGCAACGGGTAGCTCTGTCTCTTCCCAAGGGAGATATAGGCCGATGGTGCGTCAGGTGCTTGCGTGATTCAGCGCGAACTTACCTTTTTGTATCACGTTCTACTTCAATGGTCTGTCCGTGCAAGTTCTTTCAAAGGTATCATTCACTGCGCGAATAACGTATTCTGTCTGACCATCCATCGATTAATGGTTAGTGGCTGTCAATTATACGAGGAATTTTCGGTAAATCAAAATGTCTGGATTCGCCAGCGATATATTAAGATGATCAAAATGAACGCCCTCGTGTGCGCAATATGTGGACAGTTAATGTTCAATCGCCACCACTTATTGTTTGCGTAATCAGCAATTTTATTGCTACTGGCAGCGGACTGCAATCTATTCTGATGAATTTTGTTTTGCAATTCGTAAAATATCTTCCATCGAGATCGGTGTTGTACGTTGAGCAATTCTGTCGTGTTTCTTGCATTGAAGAATTTTTCGACTTGTAGGGATATACGCACGGATGATGAGATCCAAGACCGTCTCAGGTCGAAAACTTGTATCTCTTAATTTCCAAGTTATCTACATCTGCTTAACTTATAAGGACTGACGAATGAAGGATAGCAGACTATGTGTCCGACGAACACCACCTTTTGTGCTCTTCTCACTGTGACTTTGGCTGGACCAACTCCTTTAACATTTTGCTGTATCATGGTCTTAGACTTAGTATGTTATAACCTTGATTAGTTTCAAAGGTCAATAATGTAAATATACAGTAGTGGGGAGTACGCACCGCGTTATATCCTCCTCCACTACGTTATTCATAACATTGAGTCGCTACATACAACGTTACAAATTAATCCGATTGCACAACATCCTATTGTAAGCACTGTAACGGGGTTACACGAACCCTGGTATACAGGGCTGGGTCACACAAGGTGGTGTGACCGTCAAAGGTGTGGATTACACAAGTCGGTGTAATCACACAATGGTGTGGCTATACCTTAATAAGAAGCCACTACGTGACTGGACTGCCACTAGTTATGCATTTTGATTAGGTTTTACTACTAAATTCGAATAGCCTGAAGATTGCGATTTTGATATAGACGGCTCTGCCGCAAATAAAAAAGAAAAATACCCATTCAATTTTGAGCGGAAGAGTTTATTTGCCTTGGGTTAAGGCTTTGGGTATTCTTGGAGGTAACGGATTGCGATCCACTTCAATCGTACTGGTTCTTGTATAGAACGTAAGGTCGGTGACCTTAGCTGTGCTTCCTCTAAGCAAAAAGCTACGGCAGCCCTGCGTCACTTGGTAACACTCGTAGTCAATTTACGCCTGATCCTCTGTATGGATATTTGCCCCAGGGCATGCAGAACGGGCCAAGCAGGGATATCATCTTAATAAGATGATGTCCCTGTTTGGCGCTGCATCCGTGCAACATCTGACATTGGAAGGATTTGAAGCCATAACCTCGTGACTGGAGGCGTTTTTGAGCTATAAAAATGTTCTGCTAGAGCACCTGGGGCGGAAGATGTCGGTGTCGTCTGCGTCCATGACGCCACCGTCTACGACGGGTAAAGATGGAGAGAATCTTTTGCTCTGGGTGAGAAAGGCCGAGATGGCTATGGCATCCGCCATGCTCCAGAACGAGCAACAGCACTTGGAGCTAGCTATCCAAGCTCGGTGGTCGAGCACGAGAATGGGCACTGACATGCGGCACTTGGTGGAAGCGGGGTTCCCTCCTGGACGGAGCAAAATATGTAGCTTTTGCGAGTGTTTTCGCCGCCTAACCAGGCATATCACGTGCGATTACGTTACTTGCCGCCCGACAGGGCAAGAAGAAGGGGTTGGGGGACGTTGTTCAAGAGTTGCGTATATGTGCACGTATGAGACGTGTCAAAGGTGAAAAGCACTCCTAATGCTGGGTGCCACTGGTCAATTTACCGGCACCCTCCGGTTGTTGACAGTTTGTGATTATTGACTTTGTGTTTGGCCTGCGATTGTCTCGGCAGGAAACAGGGGGGTCGTGGTCGTTGTCGAGCGTTTGAGCAAGATGGCTCATCTTGCGGTGGTGCTAAAACCATCGACGGTGTCGGTACAGCGACGCTATTTATGGATCGTGTTTATCGTAAATAAGGACTCCCGGTGTCAATTGTCTCTGATGGATACTCTCGCTTCACTAGGACGTTTTGGTCTACAATCTTCAGGGTGCTGGGCACCAATATGTCAACAGCGGACCATCCATAGACCTATGGTCAAGCTGAGTGCGTGAATTGCGTCGCCAGAGACGTTCTTTGTAGCGCCTGCGCTGAGACTGAAACGCTGAGGCGCTAAAGTGTCATGCTGCCACTCGTTGAGATTGCTCTGAACAATACAGTGCATTTTTAATAACGAATGCACGCTGATCCACGTGAACGGGCTCGTGAATCCTCATGTTTCAATAACCCCACCATCCCATAGCTCAGAGCTTGGTGGGGGAGGAAAAGCTAAACGGCTAGCTGATGTTAGCCCCCTCACTGTCCGTAAATAAGTCGATACTTCCTGTCTACCAGACTGAGTGTCCTACGGCAAGTTCGCGATGCGATAACTGAAAGCCAAGGCATACAAAAAGAATTTACAGACGGAAGAAGCAGATCAAATGCTGAAATCTTTGGGGTCGGAGACCTGTTTATAATGAATACCAAAAACCTCCCTATCCATGCGGTTTTGCTGTCTCTAAAACGAAATTCCGTCCACGGTTTATCGCACATTTTAAGGCGGTGGCCAAGCGAGGCCTTCCGTATATGCTATACTTGCGAAAAAGATGCGCTTTTACCCGGTATCTAATGTGGGCTTGCTTAAACCGTACCGTAATCCGGCGGAAGTATAATGCGAAAGCGTTGGCGCTGGCGCGGCGCTCACACGCGCTCGACCACCCAAAAGCTGAAGCAGCAACTGTTTTTGAGCACGGAGTGCAACGATCTCCATCTCAAACGGAGCCAGGCGCTCCATCGTCGCACGAAGTGACACATTTGTATGCTCGACGGCTAGGAGCCGCTCTGACAGAGCGCGATAGTCCTCAAAGAGAGGCAGTCGGTGCACAAAGTGCTCCATGCTCTTGAGGTCTTCCGTACAGAGGTAATTTACCCCAGCATGATGCTCAGCGGAGACCCGATCGCGGCGGACCTTGTCCTCATGAGCTCAAAGAGTATTGTGTGTCACCGGTCGGCGATCGACCAACTCGTCATCTCCTGCCGCCGACTCTTTTAGACAAGAAAGGTGGCGTTATCACGTAGAGCGTCTTGTGGGTCGACATCGTCGACAAGGGGTCAAACCCAGTATCTTGTGAAGTGGCGGCGATACCCCGACTTCGAAAACTACCATGACGTCGTAGACGCTTATGATCAGAGGGATCATGGCGTTCCACGTCGTCGTACGTCCCGCACTTCTCAAAAATAGCCAGGGAAGCTGACGGGCCATGACCTGAGCTCAAGCTATGGCCTTGAGATGTTGTGGTCGCAGACTCCCCCGTGTAAGAGACCGTAGAGCTCGCGGGAGCGTGATGGATTTATCCACACGTCGCTAGGGGACAATCTGACGGAGGTCAGCGACGCGTTTTGAGCTTGGCAAAGTTAAATCAGACATGGCGCGCCACGCGTACGCCCACATCCATGTGGCTCCGCTGTGAGTTGGATAGCGCGAAAAGTTTTTGGTGCCGCTACACCCATCGCTCAAATAGCTCTTTGTCATCCGCGGCGGTTTTGCCAGGGTCGAGCACCACAGGAATTGTCCGCTTCGCGGGTATAGGAGCACCTTCTATTTGAGCGCAAAGTCGAGTACGGCACTTATCCATTGAAACGTCTTGAGGCACCAAGAAGCGAGCTCGTTGAGCATTCGTTGATGAATCTCAGCTTGTGAAGTGGCCGCGAGACCCACCACGCAGACGCTCAAAGATCAAATGATCGCTACCTTCCCTTCTGTAGCGGGTTCCGCAGAGCAGAAGCCGTGATCCGCAAGAGGGTCTACGACCGGACGTGGATGCGCGTGTAAGCCGCCTTGCCAGCAGTCTTTGGCTGCTGCTCCTGAGTCTCGTCATAGCGATTGGTAATGACACCACTTTACCTGGAACTCGAGAGGTCCGAAAACGGAATGGGTGTCCGCAAGGTTCGAGCAGGGCTCAAGTCGTGCTGCTGGCGCACCTCGCCCTCATCTTTTTTCCATCCTGGGAAAGATTATCCGACTCGTAGTCGACTCCCTCCAAATCTTCCATGAGTTTATCTGTCGTATTTGGCGGGCGCGGTACGCGGTGCTCGGTTGCCGAGGGATTGGTATGCGCTTCCCTTGAAGCTGCAGACGTAATTCCCGAAGTTGCACCGCGTGCAGGAAACAAAAAATTGCTCTGCCCGCGGGCGCTCTCAGAACCAGCGAGGCTTGTTGTCTTTCGTGTCCTAGACACAGCGCTCATTGAGTAGAGAATGCGTACAGAAGGTCCTAGGGCACCATTTCGCATCCTTTTTAACGAGATTTGACAATGGCCGTGTTTATTCCGCATAATCTGCGCTATATTTTTGCAAGTAGTAGGCAAGACCTAGCCACTTGCGCAAGTAATTTTGGTGCTTTGGATCCCGCCAGTCTACAGTTGCCTTGACGTTAGCGGGATCCACTCACAGGCTACACTTCCCAATGAAACACCCTTAAGTAAAGAATTTCTTCGGCGCCGAAGATGCTCTTGTCTGCATTAGCATACAGCTTATTCGTGCGCGTGTACTCGAGCACCGCTCTCAAATGGACGATGCGGTTTTCTTCATCTGTCCATTCGTGCGCCAAACAACTGTGGACGAAGATGTCTTCAAAGTATGTCTGTGCATATGCCCGATGGGGCTTGAACAACTGCCATACAAGACGATTAAATGTTGCTGGTGCATTTGACAGTCCTTGGTGCATTACCAGCCATTCCCAGAGCATGCCGCTCGGAGTACTCACCGCTGTCAGCGGAATATCACTCGCCCTCAGGAGCAATCGGTAAAACCATTGACCAAGTCAAATGCACTGAACTTTGTACATTCAATCATGTTGTTCGAGAGAATATCCTTCCTGAGAATCAGCGTCTGTGCCGGAATGGTGGCAACGCTGAGCATATTGTAAGCATAAACAATAGGCCACTTGCCGTTCGGCTTCCGGACCCAAAACGTAGGTGTCGAGTGGGGAGACTTTCTCTCACGCACTATTCCTGCGTCGTGCTTCACACGGAAAAAGGCGGCAATGACGTCACACTGCTCCTTCGGCAGGGGTCATTGGCGTGTTACGCAATACTTGGTTCCCGGAACCAGGTCGATCTCATGGCGCACACCTCGGTCCAGAAGTAGGACCGACAGCGGGTCTTTGACGACAACGTCTTAAAATTTCTTCATCAAAGAATAGTGCAAATCCAAGGGATTCTCAGGATCGAAGATCCACTTCTCGCGTTTAGCACCCTCTTGGTGTCCTACAAGAAAGCTTCATCAAGAAGCGACGACGAGTTGATCTCTTCTTCCGGTCTTATAATGACCACCTAGTATAAATCGCCTGCCTTCAAGGCACTGCCGAATTCTTCGAAGGACAACTAGTCCAGCTCAAGAACAGCATCTACTGCAAGATTAAGCTCAAGGGTGACGTCGCCGTCTCCTTCCCCCATCATACTATTTACGAGGGTGTATAGCTGTGCGCCATTGTCTACGGTAGGCACATCCTGTGTCAGGTTCGGCGCTCTGCGTCTTGTAGATATGACATCACCGTCTCCTCTCCATAGAGGTTTTACGACTCATCGAGACCAGTGGAAACTCGCACTCAGCGTCGTCCAATGTTAGTCCCTTTTTGTGCTCCACCGAAGTCTTGATGTTATTGACAACATCCGACAAAGAGCTGCTAGTTTCGCAGTCTTCGTTCAGCGAATAAAGTGTCACTTCACGCGCTTTACTGGAGCCTCACCCTCGATGCCTCGAACATCGTCCGATCATGCTACACATGGCATACAGCAACAGCTTCGAAACGTGATCACTGCTCAGTGGATTGCACGCCACTCCACGTGCATACTGGGCCTCGTCCTCGATGCCTCGGACCTCATTCGATCATGCCATTCTTGGCATGCAGCGACTGCGCTAATACCTGAGCAGTGCTCAGCGGGCTACGTACCACTCCACGTTCAGCACGCGAGCCATGCTCGGGATTCCCGTCTGATAAACCTTTGGTGTTCAAAAACTCGGATACTCTGATATATAGAATATTGACCGTCCCGGTCCAGGGCCAGCGCCAATAGCGTTTTCTGCCTCCTAGCAGAAAAGGGCTTATGACTCAGCAAAGCTCTACAAAGAGACGTGCGCGTAGCCCCCAAGATCTTCCACTTCTAATCAGTCCATGGCTCAAGATGTTCCAATCATCCCATACCAAGGATAAAACCATAAACACCTTGCTTCCAATACTAAAATTAAGCAAGGTGCCACGCTTTTGAGTTCAAGAAGCATGACACCGAGACACCGAGGTCCATGGGGACCCTCACCTCAGCGACACGAGTCCCCGTCGCTAAGCGAACAGTGACGGTGTCACTCAGCCGCCCTTTCAGCGCCTCAGCATACAACTGACTTCCTTTGATAATGGAGCGTCGTGCATAATTGCCCGGCGCCCCGAATCGATCAGAATTTAAATGGCTTCTCAAAGCTCTTCACGGTCGCCTATACGACCAGTAAGCCCGGCTTTCGTACACGTTCTGTGTTTAGAAGCACGGAGCTCTTCGGAGTGGGCTCTGCTGCCCTCTTGGCTTAACTGAATTCAGTTCTTACCCAGTAGGGTGCCCCGAGCCAACTGGGTATACTCGTTTTCCCACGGCAAACCAGACTGGCGAGAAGCGGAACTTCCGTACGATAAATCTTTACGCGGCTTGCGCAAGGAACAACCAGTCCGAAGGTGACGGGTGTCATCACAGACATAACACCGTCGGGCTCTCCCTCCTCTTGCTTAGCATAGATGAGATCTATTGGCTCAGGCCCGCTCGCCGAGCTCTGAGAGTGTGCATTCTAAGAAGTCGTGCCAGCTTAGAGTTGATATCGGCATTTGATGCCACATTCACCGCTTCTTCAATAGAAGACGGATGCATACAGAAGACTTCTGGCCACGCCAGTGCGGTGGCCCTTTATAAAGTGGGTCACTGTGACTGCCTCTGGGAGAGGATGGGCTGCCATCTCGGAAATGAGAGTTCTGAACTCTTGGACAAAGCCCACACCAACTCCTTCTTGCCCTGTCGGGCAGCAAGAAACGCAATCGTACGCGATATGCCTATTTAAGCAGCGAGAGCCTTCGCAAAAGCTGCAGCTTCCGCTTCGTCCAGGAGGGAAACGCCGCTTTCACTAAGTGCCGCATGTTAGTGTCCATTTTCGCGCTAACCCACCGAGCTTGGAGGTAGCTAGCTCCATATTCTGTTGTTCGTTTTGAAGCATGTGGTTGTCATAGCCATCTTGGTATCTCTCACCCAAAGCAGGATATTCTCTTCATCTCCATCTCAATGGTCTTAACACTCACGGGAGGAGTTATCCGTCGACGAAGGTGGGGACATGGACGCAGTCGAGCGTCCATGTCTAACCCTACGTAACTTGAAAGCGCCTCTAGACGCGTGTTATCGCTTCGGGGCTTTGCGGAGCAAGGTGTTGCACGCCCTTAGGGCTAAGCAGGGACACCATCTTATTAAGATGATATCCTTGCTTGGCCCGTTCTGCATGCCCTGGGGCAAATAAGAGGATTGCTCCATCCTCACAGAAGATCAGGCGTAGATTGACTACGAGTGCTACCAAGTGAAGCGGGGCTGTCGTAGTTCTTTGTTCAAAGGAAGCTAAGCTAAAATTACCGACCTTACGTTCTATACTAGAACAAGTACGAGTATTGCGGATCACAATCCGCTAACCTAAATCTTTAAACCGAGGCAAATAACTCTTCCGTTCAAAATACGCCATGGGGTAATGTTCACATCAATAAGGGTTTTGTGGAGCAGTTGATCGTCAGTAGCTGTAAGCAGCGTGGCTGAGCTCACTAGCGACCTAATTTGAACTTTTGGCGAGCTATAGAGGAACCAACTAGAGCGAAGTAGCAAGGCTTCATCACCGAGAATGGCTTCAACATCTTGGATGCAAAACTCCTCGTCATTTTCGAAGGCTCGCTGATCCATCCATGTGTGCTGGGAACGGAAGACAAGTATCGATGAAAACATGCTCGTAGAAGGACGCACTGTAGTTTTGCACGGACTAAAATCACTTTCCAAGTGCAGACCTTGGCGCAATACTTTAAAATAATAAGATAATCTTAATATCCGGTGTGGTGCATACCTTGGTGGCAAGAATTTGTGCTCTTCTTTTGTGCACGTCCATCTTAAACGCCTATAAAACTGTATGCGTGGAGTGCTCATGCATATCATGCCTTATGTATATAAGCTAGTTTTGAAGTAGCTAAGCGGAGAAAATTAGATAATTCTTTCTCGGCTATCCAAGTATATGAGCATTCAGCTCAGAACCTATGGAATGCTATGCATGTGCTATGAAACGCTAGGATAGGTAATTAGTCGTGTCTTGTTGCTCCGTCACAAGCAAAAACTACGTCGATGAGACCTACATCAATTTTATCCAACGGATTCTCCCGATAAGAGTCCAGTCCCGAATAGAGCCCTCAAATATACAATACCTACTACCCCGCTATAATGACTCAGATGACTTGACAAAAATCAAGGACGAATAGTATGGATGATTGCCTCCACAAAAATTTCAACATTTCATTTTGTCATCGACTTGTGGACCCCTGCCACCACTGACAGGTATGGCGGAACGCGCAACGCCATTCCGATGTGGCGAAAGCAAGAAGTTATTTTGTGGATTGAAGAACATGGCGGGCATGTGCCCAGTAAAGCCGTTGCCCATTTTCGATCGCTCGGTCTTGCTGTGGATGGTGCCGCAGCCAGAAAGTGAAGGCGAACACGAGCGGACATTATGGTGGCCGAATCACACCAGCTGCGTCTTCCTGGTTGGTCGCAAGCCCGTATTGAGCACCATGGAAGATCTACTCTACGATGAAATCATAAACAAGCGCCTTAAGAAAAAAAACGACCAAGACGTAGATCTCCGACATGAGTGCTGCCATTTATGCATCTCTCCGCGAAGACGACATCCCGCAAGAGAGGCTGCGTCACAGCACTGGGTCTCAAACTTCATGGCTCGGTACGGCCTCTCGCTACGATGTCACACCAACTTGACCATTCCGACCGATGAAGTTGTCATCGAACGAGCGGTCAGCTACATGCGGTTCCTGCAAGAGCAATGGCCACGTATGGATCTCGACCAGACAGTGCTAATGGATGAAACGGCCGTGTACTCCGAAGACGCACGCAACCAGACAGTTGACATTGTTGGTGCTCGTCACGTGATTGTTCGCTCAACAGGGTTTGCATCCATGCGCATCAGTGTCATTCTTGCGGCGAGCGCAGCCGGCAAGAAACTGCCACCAATCTTGATCTGGAAAGGAGCTGACAAGGCCAGCTTTGAGAAAATTGATGAAGTGTACTTCACGTACCAGAAGAAGGCGTCGGTTGACAGTTCGCATCTCAAGCGCTGGACCGATTTGCAGTTCCCTATGGTAAATGTCAGCAATAGTGAGTTTTTGATTTGGGACTCGATGAGAGCTTACATCTCGAAGGAAGTCAAGGCAAAGTGTCAGACGCGCGACATCAAGATGTGTGTAATTCTTGGTGGACTCACTTCTTATCTTAAGGCTGGTGATATCGGCATCTATCGATACTTCAAGGACATTTTGTATGCTGAAATCAATGGGTGGAAGGAGAGAGACTAGGTGAGATACACCAAATATGGTAATCCAGGCCGCCACCAGTGAAGTCAGTGTGTTTGTGGGTGCGCAAGGCATGGGCACAGATCGATGAAGACGCTGTCGTTAACTTTATCATTGGTGCTGGCTTTACCTACAACTACCAAGACTGGTTTGCTGCTCGACATGACGTGTACGGTACGTTGCTTCGAGAAAGCTACAAGACGGACGGTGACAGCAGTGTGGATGCTGATGTCTTCAACCTTGACGTTCTGGACGAGGCTTTTGATGAAATTGGAGTTGTGATTAATGAAAAGGAAGCAGTCCCTAAAAACACAAAGGAGAACTGCCTCACTTCAGCACAGTTTTGATACACCCCTCAGCATGTCCTCGGGGAATAAACTCCCACGCACAACACCTACGATCCATCATGGACCCAAACAGAGTAGCGAACCCGTGTCGGAGGTATCTTCTCTAGAATTGTTAAGAATGTTTTTTTGAATTTATTCTGAGTTTGTGACGTACTTCGAAAACCAAAATCGCTATTTTCACATTGTCACAAAAATACTCTGTTTTTCTAAAAAAAATCCCGATTTTTCCGGTACTCTCCAATCGGGAAAATCCGTTATAAAATATCGACGCCATTGAAAGTATTATTCCAGCGATATGTGACGCTGAAAATGTCCCCAAATAATAAAATGGACTTCTAGTTCACGTACGATCAGTGATGGATCAAAAGTAACAATGCCAGATAGGACTTTTAAAGGTATTACGACTATGTTCCATGGAATATAAACATCCGTCATGTACGACGTTTACGCGAAACGTTCACAAGAAGGTAGACAAATCGACCTGGAGCTTGACTTTGCTAATTTAATGCTCAGGACCTTATCCGAAAAGCAGAAGCAACACAAAAAGGTGGAAATGAACAGCTGCTCTGTTTTTTGTCGCCGATTCTCTCGGCAAAAGTTCACACCACTATGCCTTTGAAAAGTCTTTGAATACTGCAGCTTCACCTAAACGCAACATACTCCTACTCAGATTTTATACAACTTCCCAACCAGGACGGCAACATTTATATATCTCACGCAAACGAAATGCTGAAGATGAAATAGGTTACTTGCGACGTTCTTTCAAAAAGTCGTTATCACCGAACCATGAGCAGACGAATGTGAAATGGTGCACTCTTGTGAAGTGCGAAACCACGATTCAACATAGAAAGACCTGCTCCTGACATACGTATGTCCTGGCCTTCACGCCGTCCAATCGATTTTGACATCCGGTTGCAACACGGATGATTTCAACGATCCGTGTTATTTAGTAGCAATCCTTCTGAAAAGTGTAAAGAAAAAACGACTTTTCGAGCGAGGGGAGGATGTTTAGTTGCATTTGCTCCACCACGAGTGAAGCTGATGAGTTAGCCGCCCCGTGAAGAAGCGCAAGAACAATGAAACGTCAAATTTAAGTCGTACCTTTCCATGCTCCGATTGTAGCAGCGCTGGACTAAGCGCGAGTATAACTATTGATTGCAATACCTAAAGATGCCACGCATTTGTTTTGGCGTATTTATATATACTAAGCAGAAGTGAGTAATTTTCCCCTTTTGTATCAATATAAAAATATATTCATGATATTTTCATAAATAAGTTGATAAATGACAGCGACGACAAAGAAATGTCTAAAGCTGCACAAACTCTTTGTAGCCGAGGTAGGAAATTCCCACGAGATATGATGAGATACGCTTGCTGTCTCTCTATCACGTTGTTCTTATGATCTGTGCGACGTAAATTGCTCATAAAGTATCCTTATATGACTTGGTGCAGCTGGCTCGTAGCTCACAACTCGAGACGGAAGGTTCCCGAGTTTTGTCCTCGCTTGCCAACGTCAGCCAGCGAATTCCAATACTGTTAAAGGACGATGACAACTCGAAAGTGATGGGCGTATTGCAATTTTCATGCAGCTCGCAAGCACTATTGCTTCAAAAACATTTTTTAGCTCTCGAAACGAGCTATGGATTCTTGACTACAATTTTGCGCGATTATCAGGAGATGCTTCGCCATCTTCGATCTTTCACAAACGAGTGTGTAACTTTAGTCGATCAACATATAACTAATGACGGCGATAGCACTGAGGATGAGTCGGCAGCGATGACGTTCTCGATGAAGCTGCAGGAATGGATGGAGACGGTGCTTACGATGTTTGAGCACGAAGTGTTGCGGAAATCGAGTCTGGTGGCCAATTTAGAGTACAGTGACCTCAATCGACTGACTACTGCATCAAAACAGTGGAAGGCTAATGGAAGAATGGGCAACATCGATTACGACTACGGTGCGTTGTTATTTGTCTTTTTAAGCGTCAACTTAAATATTATTGTGGTTCTGCAGTGCAAACAGGCTTGCCCATGCCAAAAAATCTAGATTCTCGAGCGATAAATTCTGACAACAACGAGATTGTGACCAAGAAAAGGAAGAAAAAGAAGAAAAAAGCTATCAAAGGACAAAACTGACCTCTTGTTCCTTGCGTATAGTGCTCAAATGATATTACAACCCACGAATCTACGTACGCATACACCACAACGTTCTATACAAATGGAATTCCACTAACTGTGCGTGCCTTGTATGCCGGATATTCATCTGGAAAGAATCCTATGAGCAGATGCTCCTCGTACCTAAAAAAGAATCAATCACCACTCAGCATCATATTAGCCTTCATGTCTATAGTATCAAGCAACAATACCGTACGGAATGCGATCATGAAAGAAGCCCCAGGCCACAAACGAGTAGCCAACAATACAGACGGGATTAGCGAGCAAAATCTGACTACCCACAATCCACCAGAACCATCCGAGATAACTCGGGTGACGAATAAATCGGTACACTCCGTGAGTCACAAGTTTATGTTCTTTTCTTTTCAAATATTCGATTCGATGCGAAAAGTTGCTGGCGGCAGTACTCATGGCCAATACGCGAACAATTTGCCCGAAAAGGACCAAAACACAACCCACTGGCCGCACTATGGGATGTAACTTCCAGCCCGGTACAAAATATAACTCGAAAAAAAACTCAACACCGCTTAATAGTACTGCCAAGTGGTATTCTCGACTATGATTTAAAAGGAACGCTGCAGATAAAAAACTGGATAAGTTCAACTTGCTACCAATGTCATTAAAACTACATAAAAAACGCACACTCGTAGCTAACGTTTGCTGGTCGGAAAGCAGCTGTTAGCATGAACTCCATGAGATGAAAGAAACCCAAGGCCAGAGCGTACAAACTCCATTGCTCCATGCACCTCCAGCGCAATTTTGACGTAATGTTGAGAGAGGAGTCGGCTAGCGCCACAACTTCTGTGTAAAAAAGTAAAGACGCGTGCAAAGTCACGAATACACCCAGTGCAAATGCTGCAAGCGCGACTCTGCCAAGCCCCCGATCAGAGCAGAAGGCTTCCGAGCGGAACATGGCTGTACGCCAAGTAATTAGCAAAATAGAAGTGAGAATTGGTGTGTGTAATGCAATTGGTCGAAATGATAATTTAATTGTCCATTCTCAAAAATCAATGCTTCCAACTGGTAATTTGGAGTAGTTGAAGTGGTCAGCAATTGTTTATCCAATGACGTGAAATTCTCAGTCAAAAACCAAGAGAGAAAGCGTACAAAGTCCTGCAAAAACCTGTAGTTATCTCAACGGACGTGCTTGAGTGATCTAATTATTGCTTAACCAGAGCACCAGAGCACTTTACAGGAGTATCGTCTAGATATTTGTCAGTATTCAGCTTAATTTGGCCAATACCTTATTGCAATATGTTTTCTCTTGATATTTGCTTGTCAAAAACTCAGCAAGCTTGAAAACTTGGACTTATATAAAGACGGGAGCCATACCAAGAATGGTTAAAAAAACTCGGGTAGCCTAAGCGTCGACGTTTTCAGCTGAATAAGGCTAAACAAAGCTTTGTCATGCTTGAAGCGGGAAATGCGTTGCTCGGACGGTGCTAAATACTATGCTTTGCCTGACGCAATCGTAAAAAAAAAGAATTTTAGTATTTTGGAGTCATTGGAGTGATTTTCCATTGGTATCTATCTTATCATTGGCTCCAAAGATAGCTGTACGAAGCTAATTAACGAATATTAATGATATGTCTTACTTTCATGTCAAGGCTTTGCCCTGGTTTCTAATACCGTGACATATCTGTGAAGCGGATGCTGGACATCTTTATATTTAAGAGTTCAGTTGCAAGCAAAAATGAAAGCAATCGCCATCAAAATAGCCAGGTCATGACCGCTAGGCCACCCGCACCTGTCCAAACGGGGACAAACTGAGCCCATGTTGACCCGTCCGTGTGCGTCTAGCACAATATAGTTGTAGACTGATTATCGAGTAATTCAAGAGACAAGAGAGTGAAGAAAACCGTCGGACAGTGCTTTAGCGTACTGAACGCCAAGAAAAAAAGGGTCCAATCGCAATCTAAGCCGATAAGCAGTGAAAATCTAGATTTGCAGTGAGTCTTACACTCTTCAGCGAAAAATTTGAGAGCTTGTCGGCTGGTTAGTTTGCTTTGGTTGGATGACGTATATGTAAATGGGTCTATGCTGGAGACGCAGACTATTAAAATTGTAGCTGTTCGGTAAACTCATCCACTCGAAGGTGTCACTGACAATAGGAATTTTTCTGCCAAACATGGTAGCAAGGTCAGATGGAGAAAATGAGAGTGCGATAGGATGTGGTATCACTGGAGTGTCTATCAGAGACGTTTATGATGCCGATAGATCATAGCTGGTGTCAGGCAATAGCACGCGAGTCTAATTGCTGTAGCGCAATTCCAACAGACCAGCCATGTACTAGCTAGTTCTGGTCTAGAAATAGCTTGTCTGTTTGTCTCTTCATCGGCGATGGTGTCGTTGACATCAGCGCAACTATTTTTTTCGCTCAAGAGGTCAGCAAAGACTACAGCTTCGCACCATAGAAAGCGTCTTAGAAAGACCAAAAAATCGTACTAACGAGATGGCAGCACTGTGCCGGAACTGGCCCGGTTAGCAGAGGCAACTTGACGCATGCACTGCGAATTTCACGCGCATGCATACGCTTTAACAGTTGTACATGCTAAACCACCAGTACATATGTCTCACTGAGTCAAAGGATATTTCACACTTTAAGGACTATCTAATGCACCAGAGTGTCCAATTATCTGGTGGTTTAGCTGTTCGAACCACATCATGAACATGCACAAACTTACTTTGATGTTTCATTATTTGATGTATGCGATCATTTTCGCGTAATGCACGGTAAACCGGCTGTGAAAATCACACCAAAAACTTGCGAGCAATACATTCGTGCATATGCTTTTATAATGTATTCACCAATGAGAATGAATATATCGCGATGTAACGGTGTTACACGTTACGACAGCCCCACTGCAGGCAAGGTCGCAATTTGGAATGCCATATTGAAAAGCATTTTCTTGTCTGACCCCGCAAAAGATTAAGGCCACGATGGATTAGTTAGTCTCTTTATCCGTATAAATTCATGAAATCAGCTGCCTACTTGCACATGATATGTGCGAATTAACTCGACAAGAAATGGTTGCTCACCAATCTCTTATAGTGCGGCGGCAAAAGAGGCCTTCCAGCTGTTAAAAAGACCTTGCGCCCCAGTCTGACCCTTCGAGGCCCAGATAGAATGCCTCGGGTCGTTGACAACGTTTTGGTCAAGCCATAGTTATGACATGGATGTGTTGCTGTGATTGAATCTCGAAATCTTAACGCTGCAGAAAAAGTTCCAATCGAATTATCTACAAATGACTTTAGAGGTTATTACCTGCGGCGAAATACGCCGACCCAATGAAGGGAAGTATGTCTTACTGCGCTGCTGTCGCTTCCGCGTGTGTGTATCAGAGATCTCCTTAATCATGCAGCTGATCATTCTGTTCGATCGTCAATGCTTATATTTAGTGCAGAATCCCCCATGAGTCAGTTTTATATTGGAATGGGCACTTTGCAGAGGCAGAGGGAAACGCGAAGATGTATAAGCTACAAGGAATGCCAAAAGCTGGTGTCAGACTGGCAGCACTTCGTAGAAAATCTGGTGATGAAATTCAAATAAACAGAGCGTCATGCGCATTGCACGCGATGCTATGCTTTAATCTTATGTATACAAAAGCAACACGTAGAATCTACAGATCTTGTTGATTCAGAGTTGATGATAAAGCTCTATCAAAAACCGATTCCCCCCCTACACATTCAGTATCTGTAAATCTCAAGACGAGATGTGCCTCGCATTTTAGTCATAGATGACTACTAGGGCTTCGATTACACTCTAGACATCCTCAAGGCGGATACAATTTATCGCATGGTTCGTGTTGGCTTATGTTAGCTATGTTGGAATCCAATTCTTATCAGCAATCAAATGGAAACCGAATTTGGATAAAATCCGGTTAAAACAAACGTATGTGAATGAGCCTCTGTCTACGACAAAAAATAGATCCAATTCTGAGCCGCTTGAGGTGCCGAGAGCTATCTTATGCCGCTTAGAAGACGTCGGAAGCCTTTCAAATTACTCAACGGACGCGCAATGAGGTTTTTAAAGGGAGTCAACGCGCTAGCATTGACTCGAAAGCTCAGAGGAGCTGATCATTTAAAAGCATCCCACCGCAGGACTCACGTAATGGACAAGGGACAACCTGCATCCAGCATAAAGCTTCTGGATCAATGTATTTATCAGGGGCTGGTATATAGATAAAGGACACTCTTGGTCTCAGCAATTTTACTCCGGCAAACATCTGTAGCGTCGATGAGGCTAATATGGCACAATCTACCCCATCCCCTCCCTGGTAAAGCGACACAGGTTTGCGACACAATGCGCTTCTGATGAAATATATTTCGTTATCAACTCAAGGTGTGGCCGGTAGATGAGTCGCACGTTGTAAGTATGAGCATTGTAACGGGGTTACACGCACCCTGGTATGAAAGGGTGGGTCACACAAGATAGTGTGACGGTACAAAGATGTGGATTGCGCAAGTCGGTGTAAATACACAATGATGTGGCTGCACCGTCACAAGAAGCCACTACAAGGCAGGACTACCAGTAGTTTACATATTACTTATTAATCAGGAAAATCTAGGGTTTAGATATAGGCCGCTCTGCCCTAAATAAAGTAAATACATTTTCAATTTTGAACAAAAGAGTGTATTTGCCTTGTTTAAGGTTTTGGGTTCTCTTGGAGGTAGCGGATTGCGAACCGCTACACTCATACTGGTTCTGGTATAGAACGAACGGTCGGTGACCTTTGTAAGCTTTTTCTAAGCAAAGAGCTACGGCAGCCCCGATACACTTGGTAGCACTCGTAGTCAATCTACGCCTGAGTCGTTACGACTGCTTCCCTATTACGATGGAGAAGTTTTTCTATTTGCCACAGGGCATGCAGGTCGGGCTTAATAAGCTAATGTCCCTGCTTGACCCTGAAAATGTGCAACGCCTTACTTTGCAAGGACCCGAAGCGATAAACGCGCGCCTATAGGTGTTTTTGAGCTATGAAAATACTCTGCTAGAGCATCTACAGAATAAGATGTCGGCGTCGAATGTGTTCATGACGCCACCCTTGGCGACGGATGACTGCCCCCGACCTAGGTCGCTCATTATCAGCGTTTAGATCCTAGAAGGAAGGAACGGAGAATATCCGATGCTCTGGGTGAGTGAGGCTAAGATGGATACGACGTCCGTAACGCTCCAGAACGAGCAACAGTCGTGGCGCTAGCTATCTTCAAGCTCGGGGGTCAATCACGAGAATGGGCACTTGCGTGCGGAACTTTGGTTGAAGTAGAGTTTCCCTCCTGGACGGAGTAGAAGCTACAGCTTCTACAACTACTGATGTCGCCTAACCAGGCATATCGCGTGCGAACGCGTTTCCTTGCCACCCGACAGGGCAAGTACGCATTGGTGCCCTTTGTCCGAGATTTGCGAAATTCATTGTCGGGATGGTACCCAATCCTCTACCCAAGGCCGTCACAGTGACCGTCCGTATGGAGGGCCTCGAGCTGGCGTGGCCAAAACGGAAGTCCCCCGTGTACATCCGTCTTGTTTTGAAAAAAACGGTGAATATTGCATACCCTCAGAGCTCGACGAGCGGGCCTGAGCCAAAGAATCTCAGCTATGCTGATAAAGCGGAGGGAGAGCTCCGAGCTGCCGGGCAGCGTTTAAACACTTAACGGTGTTTTGCCTGTGGAGACACCAGTCACATGCGGACTGGCTGTCCCCTGTGCAAGGCGCGTGAAGGTTCATCGAACCTACGTCCCACTTCTAACCAGTCTTTTTCGTCGCGGGGAAAATGACAACACCCAGTAAGTGTGGAGCACACTAATGGGGAAAACCAAGTTTTGTTGAGCTTAAAAGTAGGGCTCAGCCCCGAAGAGCTCCGTGCTGTTGAACACGGAATGTGTAAGCAAGTCTGGCTTGCTGGTCATTAAAACGACCTTTAAGAGCTTTGGAAAGTCATAGAAGAACCTTATCGATCCCGGATCGTTGGGCAATTATGCTCGATGCTCCACGATAGAAGAAGTCAGCTGTTTGCTGAGGCGCTGAAGCGCGGTTGAGTGACACCGTCCCTTAGCGTTGGGACTTGTGTCGCTGTGCCGAGTGTCCCTTCGAACCCTGGTGTCAAGTTTCTTGACATCGAATGCGAGGAACGCTGCTTAGTCTTAGACTTGAAATAAATGTATTTATGGCCTTATCTTTGGTATGGCATGGTTGGAGCACCATGATCCATGGATAATTGGAGGTCGAAGACCTTGGTCGCTACGCGTACGTCTCCTGGTGGAGCTTTGGCGAGCCATGAACCTCTGCTAGGAAGCAGAAGCACTATTGGCGCGGACACTGGACCGGGACGGTCAATGTGCTGGACATCAGAGTATCCGAGTTGCTGAACATTGAAAGTGTATCCGACAAAAGTCCCGAGCATAACTCGCGGGCTGAAGGTGGAGTGACACATAACCCACCGAGCATTGCTCACGTTTAGAAGTAGTTGTTGAATACCAAGAGTGACATGGTCAACCAAAGACCGAGGCATCAAGGGCGAGGCCCCAATGATGCACGTGGCACGTAGCCCACAGAGTACTGCTCATGTTATGGAGCATTGGCTGCATACCAGAAGTGTCATGGACGAACGACATCCGTGGCATCGAGAGCAAGGCCATAGTAATGGGCGTGGAGTGGCACTTAATCCACTGAGCACTGCTCACGTTTTGAAGCAGTTGCTGCATGCCAAGTGTGGCATGGCCGAACAAGATGTGATGTATCTCGGGCAAGGCCCCAGTGATGCACGTGGAGTGACACGTAATCCACTGGACGAAGACTGCGGAACTAGCAGCTCTTTGTCGGATGTTGTGAATACCATCAAGGCTCCGGTGGAACACAATGCGGAACTAACACTAGACGACGCTGAGTGCATGTTCCCACTGGTCTCGCCAAGTCATAAAACCTTTATAGAGAGGAGACGGCGATGCCGTATGTTATCTGCAAGGCACAGGGCGTCGACCCTAACCCAGGACGTGTCTACCGTAGTCGACTGCGCACAGCTATGCACTATAGTCAACGGTTTGACGGGGGAAGAAGACGGCGACGTCACCCTTTAGGCTAATCCTGCGGTGGATGCTCCTCTTGATCTGAACAAGATGCCCATCAAAGAGTTCGGCGGTGCCTTGAAGGCAGGCGGTTTAGACGAGGTGGTCGTAATAAGACCTGAAGAAGAGAGCAACTCGTCGTCGCTTCCGGATGAAGTTTTCATAGAGGACACAAGGAGGGCGATGAACGCACGAAGTGCATCTTTGATCCTTAAGAATCCCTCGGATCCGTACTATCCTTTGGTGAAGAAATCTTAAGACATCTCCAAAAACCCGCAGTCGGTCCAACCTCCGGACCGAGGTGTGTGTCATGAGATCGACATGGTTTCGGGGTCCAAATACTGCGTAGAACGTTAATGGGCACTGCCCAAGGGGCAGTGTGACGTCATCGATTCCTTCTTTTACGCGACGCACGACGTTGGAATGGTGCGTGAGAGTAAGTCCCCGCATTCGACACCCACGTTTTGTGTCCGGAAGCCGAATGGCAAGTGGCATATCGTTCATGTTTACAATAAGCCCAGCCCTGCCACCATTCCGGCACAGACGCCGATTCGTAGGAAAGATGTTATCCGGAACAATATAGTTGGCTGTACAAGGTACAGTGCACTCTACTTGGTCGATGGGTATTACCAATTGCTCGTGAGGGCTAGCGATATTCTGCTGACAGCGGTGAGTACTCTAAGCGGGATGCTTTTGAGTAGCTGGTGTTGCCCCAAGCTGTCAAACGCACAAGCAACATTTAATTATCTTGTGACGCAGTTGTTCAGGCCCCACCGCGTGTATGCACAGGCATACTTCGACGACATCTACGTCTACTGTCGGGTGGGTAAGGGAGGACTGATGAGGAAAACCACATTGTCCATTGACTGCGGTGCTCGATTGCATGTGCACGAGTACGCTGTATGCTAATGCAGATAAATACATCTTCGGCGCTGAAAAAGAACACTTTTTTCGGGTGCTCGTTAAGAAGCGTGGCTTTCTAGCGGATCCCGCTAAGTTTAAGGCCTTGTGGACTGGCCGATCCCAAGAACCAAAAGGTCTTGCGCAAGTGGCTTGGCCTCGCCAACTATTTGCACAAGTATAGCTTGAATTATGCGGAAATGGCACGGTCATTGTAGAATCCCCTCAAGAGAAACGCGAAATGGCGTCAAGACTCCGAGCATCGGGATGCTTTTGACAGGGTCAAAGACAACCTCCTACATGCACCAATACTGGCGCTGCCAGACCCCGATCGTCCGTTCAGCGTCGTCTGTGACGCTTCGAACTTTGCCATCGGCTGTGCACTGCTGCAAGCAGACGCCGAGGGGCGAGATCGGGTGAACGCGTTCGAATCTCGAAGGCTCGAAGCTGCAGGGAAGAACTACTCAGTTCATGACAAGGAGGTACTTGCGATGAAGTATGCACTTGCCAAGTTCAGGTTCCACCTGCTCCGCTCCAAGCCGTTTGAGATCTATACACATCATGCGTCACTGCGCACTGCAACTCATTTGCCCCACCTCTCACAGAGGATGGCTGGATGGCTATTCTTCTTTGCGGAATATATCTTCGAGGTGAAGCATAAGCCGAAAAGTAGAATGCTTTGGTTGATGCGTTGTCACGCC